TGCAAGACCAAAAAGTTTAGCACATCTCAGTCAGTAAGTGCAGCTCAAACTTTCAAACTGAAAAATCTAAATTTTTTCATCCTGTCTAATTGTGACCGGCTAGAAAAAGAAAATTTTTGTTTAAAAATGTCATCCATTTCTGATCATCTTACACCAGATTTTTATTTCTTTTCAGTTTTAATGTTTGTGGCATGTAAATGCAACAGCTAACGACAGTGATTTTTTTGAGTTGTGAACCATTATTTCTCGCTGTTATAATTAATAGCATTTACTGTAGAAACATCTGAGAGCACTTATCTGTGGACCCAGGACCCTGTGGCTCTGGGCTCAGAAGAAGCACAGGAGAGTGAGCAGATGCTTCCACCAAGAGAATGAAGCTGGACACAGACTACAGTAGGCTGCAACACACAAAAAGTTGAGCACTGGGATGGCAGCAGTCTGGTACTTTTTCTTACCTTATAGTTTGTTTCCACTGGATATAGTTAGCAGGGACAAAGTAGTTGGAAAAAAGTAAAGAATAAAGGATAGTTAGAGTGTCTGTGTCAAAACAGAGGCTGCTGAGAGATGCAGGTATAAACTGAAGATGAACTCAAAATCCTTGAGGTACTCTGAGTCTGCTTATTTTTGTCTTCATGTCTAGTGATATAAAAATATGCTATACTACCACTGTTTTTGTATGAATATATACTACATATTTTGTATGAATCATATAATTAATATTTTTTAAAAATATAAAGCTGACGATATTGACTCAGTTTCTGCCCAATCTGTGAATTGATTTTGACCGTATCTTTAGGCTAACGTCCTCTTCTGGCCTGGTGTTAGACAGCTTTATTTTAGCTCTGAGCTTTTGGCCCTTTGGTCCCTGTTCTTAGTGAGAGCCCGAGGATCAGAGCTAAATGAGCTTTCCTCAGCGTGGGAGTTAGCTGTGGGATAGAGAAATCAGCAGTGGCTGTACAGCAGCACTCTGCTCCTCATTATGCAGCACTGCCAGGCTGCTCCAGGCTGCTCTCCTCCCTCTGGGGCAGAACCTGGCCCTGAGCCCCTTCAAGATGAGATGTGGCCCAAGCTGCTCTCTGCTCTCACTCTCCTCATCCTACTGAAGTCCCCTTTTTGCCAGCGGTGCAGGACAGCCCTCCTGCACAGGTAAGGCAGCTTACAGACTTGCAGTCTCAGAGCAAACAGAATCTAGGACACCTGTGTCTTTGTGTAAACTCATTCCTCCCTCAGCGGATGTGAGCGAACCCAGTCTTCCCAATTACTCATCCCTTCACATTATCCCTGCCCTCTCTGTAAAGTTTCCTCCTTGTTTTTCTCTGATGCCCCAGTTAAGAGGTAATGGGGTATAAAGCTTCAGGCAGAAAAAAAGGAGCTGGATGCTGGAGTGCTGTCCCAAATGGCAGACCCGAGCCTGCTGATTATATCCAGCCCGAGAGTGCTCAGTACGTGCGTGTGGAGGAAGGGGAGAAGGGGGATGCTTATTAGACCGAATGGGAGTTCTGTGCGCCGAAGAGGAGCGCTCTGCGGCCCTGAGGATGTAAGGAAGATTTGCTAACTTTGCTTTATAGTATTCATGCAGATAAGGAAGACTCTCAGTCTCCAATCATAAATCGGTATTATACAGTATACTCCCAAAGGCCATAATTACTTCTAGAAGCAGAAATTTGAATGACCCAGATAATTAGTTCAGTGCAGCTGGTCCAAAAATTATTTACATAAAAGCCAGTTTTACTTGAGGGGTAAGAAAAACAACCTTGCTACCAAAAGCAAATGACCCAGTTAGCTTCATGCAATGAGTATGAGGAGACAGAGCACGAGTGGCAACACAGTGGCCTGTGCCATCACTTCTGTCTTGTTTTCAGAGGACAAACACTAACACAACGAGCCTCTCTCTAAACAAACATACAGAAAGGCAGTGAAGATACAGGAAAACTGCATGAATTTGACCTTATGCTCTCTATGAGAATCAGTCTCAGGGAGATGTGATGGTCCATGGCATCCAGAGGAAAACATTTCACTTGGAAGATGCAGGCACCAAGGGGCAAGGAGCAGCACAGCTCTGCTCCAGGCACTGGGGCAGCTAGCATCAGTCCTTCCATGCAGGGTACTGATGCAACTGGAAACTAATCATTGTGGTTATCTGTGGTTAATTTTTGACCAAAACCAATTCCTCTCTCCACCTTAGCACATAGCTGGGCAGCAGCAGGGGTGTCCAGGAAGGGAATGCCCAGCAGCAATGTGGTTGACTTCTTCAGGGAGCCAGTACTGATATTTCGGAGGTTTCCATCCAAACTGCTAGGTTAAAAAGCAAAGAAAGGGTATGCTTTTAGAAAGGGTTTCATTTTAATGGGCACACAAACCACTGCCAGGTTAACCACTGTCGTTAACTTACAGCTGTGTCCTGTGTGGAAAGTCCTAAGTCTCTGTAGTGCTCTGACCCCATTCCCAGGGCCAGATCCTCTGTCCCTGCCAGCACTTTTACCCTGCAGCCAATGAGGATGGTGGCTGACCCTTTCAGAGCTGTCCTGTTGCCATGCTGTGGGGTCACCCCACAAGCACTTTGGAGATGGGCTGGTTCTGCTTCTCGTTGGCTGGGACATCCTCTCCCCTGCCCACCAGTGAATCAACATGTGCTGCTACAGGCATAGCAAGACACAGAGGTGCAGGTAAGTGTGAAGAAGGAAACCTGAGATGTAAATCCCCATTTATTGTATCCTTGCATCTTTACCGATTTTTAATTAGACTGTGGCCACCACAGAATCCGAATGTTGCTCTGCAACAAAAATATGCCAGGAAGGGTATCTGTTGTCCTCAGTGTAACACAGGCAATCTACTGGCATCACCACTTCTTAACACTCTTTCAAGGCCTAACTGGTTTTCTGCTTGTGGTTTTCAGAAAGTTTGCTCACCCTCAGAACAGAGCTCTTACCCCCCAAAAGCAACTAGAAGACAAGAAAAATCTGTGAGAAGCAGAATGGGAATCTTTTGTATTCAAGAGAGAGCACCAACATGGCAACTTAAAAAAAAGAGGCTAAATTGTTCTTCTAAAATGTAGAGTGTACAAACAATAACAGTAAATTGCTGTGCATCTCACCAGCCCCCATTGCTGTTTGGTATTGCCATGGATAGCACTTGTTACTTAACAGCATAGTAAATAATCAGATAACATCCTCATAACACCACTGGATCCAATTCACCTTCCACTTACACAGCTTTTATGCTTGTATGTGCCCATTGCCTTAATGGGGTTAATCTTGATTTACAGTGTAAATTGAAAGGTGAACTAGAGACCACAGAAGGCAAGTTGGAGAGGATATGATTTGCTGCAGGCTGCATCCTGATTGCAGTAACACTTACCTGGGGTGGCAGGATATGTCTACCATGCTTAAGAGCTTCACCATTGCCAGGGTAGAGGCAATAGAAATTCAGGCCCTGCCATTCTTTGTTTACAATGAATATGCACATCTTGCACAACACAATGTGCCAGCAGGTTCCTTCCCCCTTCCCTCACCCCACCCTCTCCCCATTTGTCTCAGGGACAGCAGAAGCATTCCTCTTACACAGCCTGATCCCCTGGGGGTCTTTCATTATGCCCCTTGCTTAAAGCCAGGGCACACAGAGTTCTGGAGAAGCATACTGCAGCACAGAATCCTACGAGGTGGACATGAGCTGGCCTTTTGAGGTGAGCATTCAGAAAACAGTTTACTTGAAGGCTGATGTAAGCCCTGGTGCATTCCTTTTTACCTGTGCTGCAAAGTCCGACAGAAGTCAGCCTCATCCATCAAACTGGAGCTTGCTCTGGTACGTGGCTCTCATGCTCCTGACCCCAAAAGACTGAGCACAGGCCACCAGTATGGACACCTTGCACCTCATATAAAAGCTTGGGATCAGCAGGTGGCACATTCTGGAGGAAAAAAATGTTTGTGAACAGAAAGTACGGTAGCTTCTGGCAGTATCAGGGAATGGATGAGAAAGGGGACTTCAGGAACATTTGGGTGAGGAAGCACTGCCATTCTCCCAGGCCATCCCAATTTTTCTCTTGCTGTTTGGGGGTCTGTTCGTGGACATCTGCTGGGGTGTGTGTATTTGCATGAAAATTTGTTTTCTCAACACCTGAAAAGCAGCCAGCTCTTCAGATGTTGCTATCAGCCTGTTGCTATCAGGCAACAGCAAATGAGCTCAGCAGAAGCACATCAGCCCACACCAGCAGCAGAGCTGGTCCTCCACGAGGTCCCTCCTGGAGAAATAGCACAGCTTGGTCTTTTGGAGCAGCACTGTTGGTAAATATACCCTTGTTTATATTTCTGATACATGAGGGGAATGTTTCCTCTCCTGGCTCATGCTCTCCCCATGCAGCAGGGCATGCTCGCAGCAGAAGAGGGCACGTGGGACAGGATGCAGGGTGTGCTCCTGTACCACGGTCCCAGCCCTCCCACCACACCCTCATCCCATGCCAGGGCTGCTGATGGAAAACTCTTCTCTCAGTGGGTTAAGCTGGCTCCCAGTCAGGGCAACAATTTCACTGCTGTAACAGATATTCCCAAAATGAATCAGTCAATCCAAATTGCACGCTAAGCAGGTCCTGAAAGCTAGAGCAGGTTTGGTGGCAAGATGGATGTAAGGAGCAGATCTGGACCCAGCATTCACTCAAGTTGCAGAGATAGAGAGCAGTGGGTGCTTCGGGGCAGCTGCTTCCCTGATAAAACTTCTCCTGTCATGCAGCAGAAATAATTTTGCTCCTCTGGGCCAGCTGGTCCCCAGCATGGGAAGTTCAGGAACCTCCCTGAGGTACAAACAGACATTTCCAGCCGCAACAAAATATACATAAACATTTTAAAAGATCACTTTAAAATTCAGGCTCTCCCCCTCAGCTGCTTGCCACCATCTGATTTCTAAATGAGCAGGATTTCTCTTGTGTTCAGCTTCATACATATATATATACATACATAAGCATGCCCACCTCGTACACAAAGTACTCCTCATCTTCAAGTCAGTCTCACCTGAGTACAGAATTAGATCCTGTCTCCACTTCATAAACTTGCCCTCTCTGTTGGTTTATATAAAGCCATTTCAATCCTGAAGGAGCTGGCATCTCACATTCCTGCCTTCTGAATGTACAGAGCAGAGGAGTAAGGAACAAAACAGTGGGGGTGAGAGGGGATGTTCTGATTCTGCTCAGTAACATGAAACATCGTGGCATTAAATACCAACAAAATATTCAGTGTTAATGTTTAATATTACTGGGAACTTGTCACCTCCACTTACTATCTTGGATCTGCCATTCTCTCGCAGACACCCACATCTGAGCTCTGGGCCTAACGGGCTTTCACATTATGTACTAGAAGGGGGGAAAAGAAAGAAAAGCCAAGAAGTAGGGAGAGTCAGTTACTCTGTTTCAGCTACAAAGCTGAGTAGGGATTTTTTCCCTTTTCTGTTTGCAGGAATAAAATTACTCACATGGCAGAGCTCCTGAGCTGCTCCTTTTCAGGGGTACCTCTTCTATTCACCCCTTCTATAATGTCTGTGAGATGCTCTTGGATATACGCAGATTTGTTTTGCTGTGCTGGGTAACCAGTCTCATCCCCACTCTTATCCACCATTACTAGCCAGAACCTACACAGCTGTTCTGCAGACTCAGGAGCACAAAAATTGGGTGTTCTGGGGACAGAACTGTTCCTAAAATAACATGAATTAAGACTTTGCCTGCCACACTTTAAAAACGACTTGAGGCTGGTTTGCCTCATGAGGGTCCTCTTGAAAAATGCATGGATGCTATTTCACAAAGCCCATTTCCAACCCAGGGATTATTTCTTGGTGCAGCTTGGTGCCATCCCAAATGTCTCTCTTTCACCACTGGAAATTCAGGCACCACAAAAACAAGAAGGCAAACCTCTTCATGATTAGTGTAAACGCTCTGCATCACACTGCAAACAGAATCAGGCCATCCTGCCTGTCTCTCTGGTTTCTGTAAAATGACTTATTATCCCTCTAGGCTGAGTGGTTAATGAAAATTCAAACTCTTCTAGCTTATTCCAGTTAGGAGGAAAGATGGGTGATGCAATCAGGTATCTCTGCTGCAGTTGTGTTTATTTGGAAGGCTGTACAAAGCCCTGCTTCTTTAAGCACAGGAGGAGCCAAAACAACAGCAAAAAAATATTATTTTCTCAACCTCCTTTTGTCACAACCTCCACCCAAAACTGATGCCAATATTCTGCCAAAACCATCAGACTCTGCTCAAACTTTCTTCTGCTATTTGTTTTTCACTCTATTATTCCCTGTACACCTTTAGCTTTTTTTCCCTACAGTGACAAGCATGTTCACCACACCCCTGAAACAACACACGGCCGAGGCACTGCTGTGCAGAGCAGACAAATCCCTAAAAACACCCAGGCTGCCTTTTGCAGAGAGCTGGAGAGGGGGAGGTGACACATGCTTAATGCCTCTTACAGCTGTGTTAAATGAAAGATGCCTCTAGACTGTCTTTCTCACAAAGGCTTAACCCAGCTATAACACCTCTCACATTTGTGTAATTCTTGCAGCCAAAACTTTCGGTTAAAGAGTAAACAAGCAAACAAAACTAGGTATACTTAGATTTTTGCAGCGTTTAGTGACCAGGTCCATTAGGTTTATAACACTCGCTTAGGGATGTGCTGTCATGGCTCTGAGCCCGCAAACAAGCTGTGGCTGCGGGAGGATTGTCAACTACCTCTGCTGTTTCCATGCCTTTCGGCATCACTTTTGTTTTGAGCACAATCCAAGTGCCGCTTCACTACTGATCATTTGGATACAAACCTGCAAAACATCCAGAGGGGTCAGACTAAATCACCCAGAAAACTGTCTCTGGCAGCCAGTGAGAGCAGATGCTTCAGGAAATGTACAAGAAAAGGGCAAATTCAGATTCATCCTTCTTCTGCCATAGGCTTCCAGCCTCTGACAAGCTGAACTCAAGTATGTCTTTGTATTGTTGCATTTAACATGCCTCAAGAATCTTTTCTGATCTCAATTGGTCCTAGCACTTTTTGATTACATTTTGATTTTGGCCTTCATGGCATCCTCTAGCAACCAGCTTCATGGTTTAATTGTGTGTGTTTGTAAAAAATTTGCTGCCTGGTCACTCAAAAACAAACCCACCCTGAGTTTTGGACACAGAATAAAATACTGGGAAATAGCAAATACCCATTATTTGTTCATCTCCCCTCTGACATAAATAGTTTCATTTCTGTTTATCATGTTTAATCAATCTTACCCTCTCAAATTCGTGCAATAAACTGTCAAACCTGTTTATAGCTTTGCCATCTAAATACCCTGTGGCAATGAGTTCCCAGTGTAAGGCTCTGCTGGTGATTTCTTTCAATTTGTTTTAAATCCACTCCTTAATTCACTGGGTATCCCATTTGCACTGTCAAGAATAGTAAATAATCCTTCTGTTTATACCTTCTCCAGCCATTTGTGCCTTCATAGCAGCACGCTGCTGTAGTCCAGCTTGGTTGGCCCCAGACATCTCTCTCCAGACTGATGTGTCCCAGTCTCTTTAATAATAGATTGCTACTAAACTTAACCATTGCTGTTGGAAGAAGTGGTGAGTGTAAAGGCAGCTTCTGTGGCTGTTCTCAGGGTTTCTTTTTCCTGCCTAGCTGACCTTAGACATAATGTCTTTCTGGAGAGTATTTAGGTCATGGGAATGTAAGATAGAGGAAAAAATGGGAAAGCCTATGTAAAGAAAAGTATATTCTAAAACATTTTGGGAAGAGGAGGAAGTGAACTGTATTTGCAACTTTAAGAAACAGGATGTGAAAAATGTATTTTTACATTACGTTCAAAAGTAGCACATACAAGTTTTGTCAGGCACTCATCTGAAATAATCACCAATAATTTTTTTATTAGTGAACTTGGATCAGAAACTTGAATCAGCTATACTAAAGGGAGCTGCTGATTGCTCTTCTGCTTGCTATCTTTAAAGCAAGTGAAAAGAAAAAGTGGAAAGTATCAATATCCTGACTTGCAAACAAAAAGGAAGGTCAAGATGGAGGAGTTTGCACAGAAACATACAGAGAGCATACAGTGTAGATGCAGAAGCTATTCATGTTTCCAGGTAGACAGAGAGACTATACATCAAATATTACACAGTGACTCAAAATATTTTTATATTTATCTGAACTAATTTGGAAGAAAAATCCATAGGACTATGAGTTTTGATATGAAAATACTTCCATGGAAGTGTCTATGGAAAATTACTTCTGAAAGGATAAGCAGCACCAAGAGCATTTTGCATGCAATTCCAAAATTATTTCACTCTTTATTGCTAGAAAAAGTATTTCACTGCAGTTTCTTTTCAATTTTTGCCAAAAATTCCAGATCTTGAGATAAAATGTAGCGAAATCTTATTCTGACAATTTTTAGGAGTCATCTAGGCTAATATATTCTAATTTATGCTAACACACTAGGGAAACTGATGGTGTTTATGGCTGTTTCTGAATCAGTTGTTGTAAAAACATTAAGGTTGTACATAGGAGTTTGAATGAGCAAGAAAATTTCTGCCTTGTTGGAGCCCTATAACTCAGTTACAACTGATCTATGATTGACGCAAGATTGCCTTGAATTCCTTGGTTTGTAGTTGCCAATTTCACAGTTTTGATGAATATCCATGGATTCATGTTTTCTTCATGAGCTGCTCAGAGTCATATTCTCTCGAGTATTTGATCATTCAATATTTAGGGCCTGAATTCCTGTGCAAGACCGGGTATGGCTTCCTGGCTGTGTGATGCAATTTTTAGCCAAAGAAATAGAGGCTTGAAGAAACCACCTAAGCTCCCTCAACAAAGAGAGAGAGACCTCCAGCAGCCACTTTATCCCAATTTAAACCACATACCTGTGGGAGGTGGCTTTAAGTGCTGTGAGGCTTTGCTCCTCTCAGCTCACTGCAGCTGGATGCTATTTAGCTCGGGCAAAACTACCCCATCATTTCACACATGGGATGTAAAGAAGATTTCTCACTTAGATAGTCCCCAAGGGTATGGGGTTAGGCAGATTTATTTAAAACAGTCCAAAGCGCTGAATGCTTCCCATTTACTTAGGCTTGTTAACTTAGAATGGCTGGGGCTTGGCTTACAGTCATGACTCTCCTACTCCAGTTCAAGGGCAGAGAGGCAGAGCTGATGGTCTCAAAACAAAGCATATTCATGGAAGAGGTTTAAGCAGATGTTTTTTGTCTGGCATTTGTATGGTCCACATGGGTTACAACAACTGGTCTGGCACAGAAAACGCACCAGCCCATGAGCCTAGTGGTTGGGTGGGTTGGCCTAAATGAAAATACACCAATCCTCAATCTGAGAAGCAGAGTTTGTCCTCAGACATGTCAACACTCATGTGACAGCACTGGTGGGAATAGAAGCACAGATCAGACCTTTAAACCCTAAGACCCTTAAGAGCTTAAAGTTATTTATGTTGTGCATATATACTTAGTTCAAACTGGGAAGCACTCACTTCATCTTTCTCTGGCTTCTACGTTTTTTTCCCCCCTTGAGAAATGGTGAATATTGCCTATAAGAGGCAAACGTTTGGAGTTTTTGAGACCTGCATGTATATGATAGCCCATTTTCTGGAAAAAAATTAAAAGAAAAAAAAAAAAAAGTGTGTTTGAACAACTCCAATTGGAAGGCTGAAGAGAAAGCTAAAAGAGATGAAAAGAAGACCTTACTGAACATTAATGCTGTGCAGGAGGAGAGTTCTGGCACACTCATGTTGGTGGGCAGTGACCACCCCTATTTGCCAATGCTGATATACCATGAGGAGAGAAATGTGTCCCTTTACAAATCCTAGTGCATCAGTGATGCATTTGAAACATACTCATCACCAGAGGACAAGTATGAGAAGCATTTTGTTTTGCAGCCACAAATGAGATTAAACATAGCAAAAGGTTGCCAACAAAGCAAGCTCTGTGGTGCACTGTTGCTGCTCCATGGAAGATCTGGGAAAAATATGGTAACTCTTAAAATAGGAACTAAAGGGGAAAAACCTCTACCAGAAGGAATTACCATTAATTTGGGAATTACTGGTAGCACTCTGGAGGGGAAGACCTGGAGGAAGATGAGGAAGTGTTTATTGAGGCCATTGAATGAGCAGAG